CATAAGAATTCGATCAAGCAGGAAGGTTGAAAGCAAAATGGAGCATCAAGAAACTGGCGTTCAGTTGAAGAGAGTGAGACTATTGCATGGCGATGTAAAACGCTGGATCGTGTCACTCTGGCAAAAATCGGAGCTCGGATTTTGCAGAGCCGGAGTTGGTGGCTGATGTGAAACGTAGAGGCAGGCTTCTCTCAAGCGTTGGAAGGTGGGAGTGAGGTTGAAGAATGTGAGCCGGTGGTATGTGGTGGAACCTCAAAGGTCTGGAGGTGTTGCATTGATAGACCACGCCAGTCCTTTGACTATGGCGTTATGGGGGTGAATCACCCAGCAGCGGGCTTGGAGTGGCAAACAGCGCCATGGTCTTGTTGTAAAAGACGCATGGCTTGGGCTTCACCGCCGCTGGTGAATTTTGTTCCACGGCCCCAGGCGAGGAGATGGACCATGATAGAATGGACGTTTTTTGCGAGCTTCCATGTGTTGTGAAGGATGCGGGCCTGTTCGTAGTTGTCGTGGAGTTGTTGGTGAGTAATGCGTGTGGCTTGGGCAAAAAAGCCCGGATTGGCATCAAAGTGGAGAATGCTGGGCAGGAGACGGCCCTGTTGCAAAATGGCAGTGATGTTGCCGTGGGGGCCTGTGTGACAGGCGTTGATGTGAACTGTTTCCGGGGTAGTGGAGGTGGCACGAGTGGCAGGCGGTGGTGTGGGGCGAGTGGCCTTGTCGACCAGACTGGGAATGTTGATGCAGTGGTAGGAAAAGGTGTCGTAGGTATTAGTGGAGTCATTCCACTTCACATGGGTGAGTTGGCGGAAGTCTGCCAAGTCTTCGAAGGTGAAGCCGATGTCAGCGAGAAGTTGTGCGATGTATAGGTGTTGTGGTTTGTTTTCCGCAGCCAATTGTGCGGCGTGGAAATCGAGCCACCATGCTATCTGGTCTTTGTGGGAAAGCCGCCAGAAATGTGGTGGAGGTAGTTTCCAAGGGGGGTGGGGGCGTCGTAGTGCTGGAATGTTGGGAAAGTCCGCCTGGAACATGTTCGTGATGTGGTGGTGAGGTGTAGACTGTTAATTGGGTCGGAGAGTGATGCGTGCATGGAGAGCGGCCATCTGAAGACGTGGTATGTGAGGTTGAAGGTGAACGGCGACGCCGGCGGCGTGCCGACGACGCTTTGGCAGTGGAGGCTGCAGGAGAATGATGGTGTTTGTGGCGTGTGTGGCGGCGGCGGTGGCGGCGACGCCTTTTGCTGCGGCTTCTGCCGCGATGGGTGCGGCCAGTGGTTGTAGGAGGGGGCGGTGTTGCTGTGAGAGGTTGTGCAGGGGACTGCTTGTGAGGCTCCGGAGTTGGTGCTGAAGATGCTTCGGTGGGGAGTGGTGGCGGTGGCGGCAGTGGTGGAGCGGTGGCTGGTGGCGGAGTAGTGTGAGTGACTGGTGCGGCAGTTGCAGCAGTGATGGCCGGTGAAGAGGTCCCCTGAGTTAGATTGGCGGATGTGGGGACGTTGTGACGCCTGGTGCGGGTGGCGTAAGTGCGACTGCGGGAGAAGTTGGATCATCTGAAACAGTAGTGGTTGGGGCTGATGTTGGGTGCGGCGAAGGGTGAGCCACAGAAGGAAAGAGGGAGAAAGGCTGCCAAACGCCTTGAGATTGGTCCCAGTGAACGGGAACATGTTGAATCGGCGGTTGCGGTGTTGGTGCCTGGGGCGCTGGAGGAGCTGATGGCGCTGGTGGTGCATGTGGTAAAGAGGGTGGATGAGATAGAGGTTGGGCTGGCAGGGTCTCAAATGCCTGCAGCTGAGGTGGTGCTGGGTATGCGTGTGTGGGAGTCACAAAGGTTGATACTGGTGGAGAATGTGTTGGAATGGGATGTGGCCACGCATGAGGTGGCGGTTGCGGTGCAGTGGTCTGAAAGTGAGGCAAAAAGGTCTGCTGTGGTGGATGAGACAAAACGGCAGGGACAGGTGCCGTTGGTGGAGAGTGATGCCATGGCGGTGGCTGAGTGTTGACTGTAGGTATTGAGGGTGCGGTACACGGCGGTGGCCAGTGTGGATATGGCCAGGGGTACTGCGTGGAGAAACCAGTCCGAGAGGCTGCGGGAAATGGCGCCGGCGCGGCACAGCAGCTGAAATTGAATGTTGGTGAAATCAGTTCCTGAGTGGATGTGCAGTGGTGAAGACCTGTCATGTAATGCAATCTCTGAGATCTGTGGTGTGAAAACTGTGAAATCTGAAATCTGTCAAATGGCTGCGGTTAAAAGTTGATGAAGTGATCAACGCACAAACGGAACAAAGTTCAGAAATCAATGGTGGGAATTCCATCGTTTATAGCCCGGCGGCTCGAAAATCAGGGAATTCAGAGATACATTGAAGTAACGAAAGATCAGTTATAAAACAAGATGGAACAATGAAATCCAGAATGGTTTCGGCGCCTCCTTTCGGAGGGTCACACCCAGTACCCACGTGGGAAGACTGAGCGGTCCACACTTCGAACTTGGGTTTTCAGTTAGACTCAATTTCCACGTTGGGAAGGAAGGTGAGGGAACTGAAAGGTGCATCAGTATTGTTTAAAACATCCCCCACCGGTGTTCGCCTATAGAATGCCGATCCTTTTACCTCTATATAATGCCAAAACTGACCCTCATTTTATACGGGACCCATGCGGGGCACACTTGGAATCTTGGACATTTTGTTAGGGTTTGGGGGGGACAGGGTCCATTTTGGCATTTCATAAATTTGAGTGATTTTGAGGTTGTTTGGGTCCAGGGGCATTTTATAGCAGGAGTTGATTTTTCTTAATTTAGATAATGGCACCTGGCGAGGGCATTTTATAGGCAAGTTGTTTTTTCTCTTGGATGAGGACAGGACCCATCAAGAGCATTTTATAAACAACATTCCAGAGTGCTGCATTCCAGAGTGATGCAGAAGTCCTGTGAGGGTGTAACGAATCACTTAGATTCATCTGCGAGAACAAAGGCGCTGCGACTTTTGTCTTGGCATTTCATAGTTTTGGAAATTGTGGCTTGCCGTTCGTCTTTTCTTTGTGCTTGCACCCATGCGTTGCATTATATAGGCATAGTGTTTTTTTGTATATTTTCTATGGTGAACCCATCATGGGCATTATATAGGCCTGCTGTTTTTTTGCATTTTTTACTGCTCAATGTTCAGAATCCACCTTCCCCATTTTATAGTTTGGATGCTTTTTACTCAGTTAGGCATTGTATAGAAAATCCACCCTCCCTAGACATTTTATAGGGCCCAAAGTGTATAAGATGCCCCCTAAAAGCATCCAACCTAACAATGAAGGGGGATTTTAAAACATGTTTCCGAATGGCCTCGAAATGGATCTGTACAAGCAGTGCGGTGACGAGCTCAGCTGCAGGAAAGTGGGTTTAGGGAAATATCGTGGAACCACCATGAAATCAAAGAAGAGAGATTGGAACGGCGTGGTCAAAAGTTGAAAACAGTGCAGGTACGTGAGTCGAGCGTCCTCGATTCATATCACAGGAAACGTGCAGCGTCTTCGTTGGTCGCTGACTGCACGAATCCCCAGCGACCCCCTGCCTTTGATGAGTTCACATCAGTGGAAAAATGGAAAATTGGAACGGTCTCAGTGGTAGTGGAAAGGTGAAGAGGTGGAAAACCCTTAGAACCAGGGTGTGACACACACACACACACACGCGCGCCTAGTGCCTCTACTCCTCGCACCTCCATTCTTGACGTGGGCTTTTCGTACACGCTTCTATATAGCCCTTAGTGACACACACACACACACCCCTCCAAGAGACCCGTAAGAAAAACCTATTTTGTCCCAAACGAGTGCTCACTGAGAGTCTGGTGGCCTGATTGATGCCCGTGAGCGGAAACCATAAAAAACTGTCGAAATCCGTCGAAATCCGTCGAAATCTGCGGACCGGTGCTATCTCCGCGCCCGCTCGCTTCTCGCTTTCCGTTGCTTGCCGGACTGGTTTGCTGCTGCTGCTGCTGGTGCTGCCTTTTTTGTTTGTTGCTGCTGCTGTTGCTGCTGTGCTGGTTTGCTGTTGCTGCATTTTGGGCATGGCCGAGCCCCGCTCTTGACAGTTATATAAATAGTTGGCCAGATTGCACACCATACAGGAAAACATGTCGATTTGCAGCTACACTGGCACTTTGCAGGTGGGCCGGCCACATCACTATTTGGAAAAATAATCATGTCAAGTTGACTTGTCGACACCTTGCAATTGCTTGTCTGTTCAACGGATCTCTATACACTGTCACTATGACAGCACTCCCTCTTCCATTTCCTTGGCGGGGTGCTGTGTGGTACCCCCTTTCGTGCTCCTTTTTTTGCTCTGTTTCTTCTCTGCGGATTTTTCTTTGTGGCCTCAACTGAGTTGACACACTTTCGGCACATTGTCGGCAACATTTGCGTTGGCCGTGCTTCGTCAGTGCGTTCCACTCATCAAACTTTGGGGCTCGGCAGTTCTAACATGGTGTAGTGGATGGCTACTCAGCTACTCGCCAACGGATGCTCTTCAAGGCCATACGACTGAGACCATTGCCGACCTTTGTAGAAATTGCAGAAATCAACTTTGCGTCTTTGAAATTGACCTGTTTGCACTCCCACACCAGTACTTGACTTGTCTCAAACAACTGCCCCCGGTCGCTGGCCTACGCAGTAGCAGAGTTCTGGATTGCACATTTTGAGTGAGATGAACGCCTCACTATGTTGCCGCAAACGCTTCCCAAACACTTGTGAGGAAGTATGCTTTCGTATGGTAACCAGCGTGCTTTGCGCTGCATTTCCCCGAAGTGATCCTGCTGCCGTACCGTAGCTCGCACGATCATTTGGCTTTGCCCTTTGCAAGGGGTTGCCGTTTGAACTGATGTAAACTTGTGAGTCGGTCGAAACTTCCAAGCTCGGCTTCTTCTCAATTCAGTTCTGTTTCACTCTGTTTCTCTGTGTCACTTGCATGTCTCGTTGCGATACTGGAATCCTCATGGCTCCTCGCATCCTTCCAACAAGAGAGCCATTAGCAGGTCGAGGATACTTCCCTCAAGCTCCTAAAAGACTACGAGCCGGAAGCTATTGGATTGGACTCGCAGATGCAAGAGAAGCAGATCTTTCACATTTTTTGATATGCGTTTTATAAAGTGTGAATTACCTTGCTGCAGCTGTAGCCACAGACGTGTCATCGGAGACATAGGGGCCCGATGTGGAACTCCGATTTGACCAATCCGACCCGGAGATTTTGACCTCGCAACCTTGCTCCCAGGAGATTCCTGAGCGGCTTTTTCGAGAAGTGACGCTCAAGCGGCAAATAAAGCTTGTGATGCTGCAACCTCCATGAGTCCCCCTTGACCTTGACTAGCAGTTGACGAGTGCAGTATTTCCTTGGGGGCAATGGTAAAGTTGGGGATGTCTTGCTGGTCTGCTGAACATGGCAAACCCGCCAAAGAGTTAGTGCGAAGGCAGCAGGCGGCACTGACCACGCTGATTCATCGATCAAAGCCCGGTTTTTGGACGTTGGAGCTGTCACTTTGCATTTGGTTGCGTGCACTGCAAGGTTTGTGCAACGCGCAGACGTTACCCGCACTGGAGACTGGCAGACTGGAAGGCCATCTCAGCCTGCCTTTATGGACATGAAGCTGGGCGAATACGCAAGCCTTTCAGGTTGGCATCGATTGTATGGCCAAGTCCACCTGTGACCGAACAGTTCGCCAGCATTGGTTAGAGTCTAGAAGCTTGAGCACCGACTTCCGAGGAATCTCAACACCCTCAGAGCCTTGGCATCGAAGACAGCTGACAAGAGACATGAAGAGATATGAAGAGACACGAAGAGGCATGAGCTGGATCTTCTTCCTTCCAAAGCCATGAGAATTGCACCATTGACCCAAGGAGATGCAAAAGCTCAGCCAAGAGCTGTCATTTGGCAGCACGACAACGAGGAGACCCTTGTTGGCCTCTACTTTTTTGTGAGTATTTTCGTTTGGGTGAGTGAAGGACTGCTTCAACCCCTGCGGCCTGTTGATGGCATATGAAGAGGAGAAGGTCCAGTTGCTGCACTTTCAGATTAACAGGCTTTCGCACATGAAGAAATAGCAACAGTTGAGCGTTCTCACCAGTTTTTACCGAATGCGCAGTGGGGGTCTGGGCGGACTTGTGTTCGCCTCGTGGTGTCGTGGCGTCGATGTCGCGTTCTAAATACTGTAATAGCTTCTTGTTACTACTAGTAAGGCACCTGTTACTACTAGCGTGGCACTTGTTACTAGGAGCTTCTTGCTACTACAGATTTTTCATGTCCACTTTGCGTTTCGTGGGGTCAGCACTTTGTGCCGGGAGACGGGCGTTCGCGGATTCACTGAAGCCTCGAAGCGGTGTTTTCGTGACAGTTTTGTGTGCTCTGAAAGTGTCGAAATTCCAAGCGTGTGGTGTGGCGCTGTTGCTAGAGCCACTACACCGAAGGTAGTTGCCAGTCGCTTTTTCGTGGCGGAGTGTTTTGTGCCTGTTGGGGTGGAATCAGGTGGCGACGTCGAGTGCAGGTCAAGGTGTCGGTGTGTGTTCTCGCAAGGGGCTCGGATTGTGAAGCTGCAGCTACTTGGCAGTGCTGCGTGATGTGCTCGCTCTGACGACTCTTTGGGATTAAGTCTCGTATGAAATAGAGAGGTCTCAGTTTGACTTTCAGAGGAAGTCTTGCACGACGTTGACCGGTCAGTTTTGGAGCAAGTCTCGTACCAAAAAACCGTTTTGGAGACTTGACACGTGACTGTTGGAGGAAGTTTCGTCCGGAATGCTCGTGTTGAAGGCTTGACGCATCACTCTTGGAGAAAGTCTTGTGCAAAATGTCCGTTTTGAAGACTTAACACGTGAGCCTGTTTCAGATATCCCACAAGAGTGCGTCACAAGAGTGTCCCACAAGAGTGTGCCGCCCTACAAGAGTGTCGTACAAGAGTGTCCACAAAAGTATCCCAGAAGAGTGTCCGACAAGACTGTGCCACGAGACAGAGTCCCCTACAAGAGTGTCCGACAAGAGTGTCCCTCCCTCATAAGTGTCCCACAGAAGAGCATCAATCAAAGTGTCGCACAAACATGCTCTAGAAGAGTGTCCTAGAAGAGTGTCACCCCAGAATGTTTTTCAATGTTTTTCAAAGGCTTTGGCTGTTTGTGTTTTTGCAGGTGTGCGCGTTCGAGTTCGCGGGTTCTATCAGGTTTTATTCGGTCTATTCTTTCCGCATTTTGCTACGGCGTTTGTGTATACCAAATGAGGTTCGTTCAACGTTTTGGTTTAAATAGCTTCAGGTCAAGCCCGTGGTGTCGGACTTTGACCCTTTCGTGCTGGGCTGTGCCGGCCCAATGAACTTTCAGCCACTTCCACCAGGTCAAGTGGAGTTGGTGTGGCTTGGGCCAAGAGTTTTCACAGTTCTAAGATGTTCTAAGTGACCGCTCTCATCGGGGTGACAGTGTGTATTGCACTATTGACTTTATCTTCAAGGCATGCATTTCTTCTTCAGGAAGTGGAGCCTTAGGCAGATTGAGGACGTGCTAGCGACACCAGGCACCTCTGGTTGGACTGGCAGATGGCTTGAAGCTTTGAGCAATTTGTGCGGTTCACATGTTGACAGCTGTGGTTAGCTTCATCCTTCTCTTGTGAAAGCCAAGGAAACTCTCAAGCGTGCGTCTGACAAGGGCTTTCATCCCGAAATGCCCAGGCCAGGCACATTCACTGAGATTTGTCAAGGTGATTTGGAATGATTTGGACGCCTTTTGCGCTGTAGCTTCAGGTATGGCTTTGGCGACCCCACCTCTCATGACATTGTGGGGGAGTTCGTGGCCGCCACGAATCTGTTGGGAGCAGTGCGCCATGGAGCGGAGTGTGGCTTGGGCCTTCGCTTCAAGAATCGGAGAATCGATCAAGTAATAAAGTAGAAGGTCAGCACGGTACCCTGATTCTTTTTCATGAACACCTGCTTCAGTCAACATATCTACCCGCCAGGGTGCAGCACCCTCACTTGGCCAACTGAGGCTTTAACTTCTATTTCCCCCAGGACCTTGACGAGGAGTTTCTGGTCGTTTCTAGCACCTTCGGTGCACAACCTTGGAGGCCCGGTGCCGAGGACCTCGGCTGAGTTTGCTGCATGCCGTCAGTTCGAGAGTGTCCTTGAAGGTACATGAAGGAGCCGGAGCTGCGGGAATTCTTGATGGATAGCATTTCTCAGGGATACAGCTTTCCATTGACCCTTAGATGCATTCAGACTCACTGACCGTGGACGAGATGAGATGTTCACACCATGTGTGCTAAGGAACCCGAAGTGGATCATTTGTGATGCAGGCTCTGGCAGGCGCGCTGCAGGAGAGAATGCGTTCTTTTGTGCTTGGCAGGCTGGCGCGAAGTCTTTGAAAAGCTGAGAGAAAATGAGGAAAGCCGGAAACACCTGGCATGTTGGTTCCCGCGGCTCTCCTGACATTCAACAAGTTTTTGAAACAAAAACTCCTCGCCATGGTATTGTATGGTATTGTTTCCAAGCGTCATCCGCTGAGGCCTGATTCGGGATTGATACTGGGCACATAAGATTGAACATGTGCCAGCACGTGTGCCATATGTTTGGAAGTGAAACGCCACACCAAGGATTGAAACCATCGATGAGCTGTGTCAGAAGCTGCCTGCCAAGCACAAAAAATGTAGCGTCCTTGCTACTAGTAGCGATGCCCTTTGTTCCTAGTAGCTTCTTGCCACTAGTAGACATAAAGACTGGCTCATATGGTCTCATGGGGTGCCCCAAGTCTGAGGTACCTAGGCGAAGCGGCAGGTCTAGAGTCAGGTGTGAAGTACCTTTTATGGTCCTAGCTGCTAGGTTTCCTGACGGTTTCATCAAGCCAGCCGGTGCTGTGGAGATTGACGTTGACCTTGCCGTCTCACCCTCAGAGTGCTGTGCAGCTGCAGCTCAATCCTAGCCGCCGCGACGCCAAGGAATTCCAGTTGAAGCGGTACCAAACACTTCAGAGGGCAGCTTGCCCAGAGCTTCAACACTTTACTGTGAAGTGAGGGCTGTGCACCAATTACACATACGGTAGGAGTAGGATTCGCAAGACGCGTTGTCACACTTGGGATCTCGGGTTGCTGAGTGGCGTTTGGACTGTCGCTGCCAGGCAAGACGGAAGCTTCGAGTTGTCTTGCGGTGGATGGACAAGACACCCAAAAAGGCCCTATTTCAAAGTCTAGCTGCTGGGGATGCTGTTTGCTTCCACCTTCGTGATGTTCGTTTTGTGGGTCAAAAGTTGGCTCCCAGGATAAAGATGGCACAGGGGAGGAGAGGTTGGCGACAAACCAGGCCCTAGAACGGGGGTATGGATGAGAAAGCAGTTCCTGCAACCTTTGCGCTCACGTTAGTTTCTTAAGCATGTAACATGTATAATTATACTGAGTCTGGTACCTGAAGCCAACGGGGTGTCATTAAGTCCGGTGCAACTGGGGCTCAGCGCCAGGGGTCTCAAGCTTGTCACTCCTGCAACGACATGAGTTTCACTTTTGGCATTGCCTATACGTGAACACGAGAAGGCCAGGAGCCCCTAGTAGCTTCTTGTTCCTAGTAGTACGGCCAGGAGCCCCTAGTAGGGTCCTTGCTCCTAGTATTACGGCCAGGAGCCCCTAGTAGCTTCTCGTTCCTAGTAGTACGGCCAGGAGCCCCTAGTAGCTTCTTGTTCCTAGTAGTAAGGCCAGGAGGATTTAGGCTCGAGCCCACCGTCCGTTAGCGGACCTGGCGATCCCGTTGCCTCACATTTCACGAAAGGTAGCCCTTTAGGGGATACCTTGAGTTTGTCTTGCGAAGCAAGTGTTGGGACGTCCGGGTCTAATAATTGATCGCTCAATTCAGACCCCCCCCC